GTAGCCTTATTTGGTACGGTTGTATGCAAGTAAGTCTCAAGTCAGTGGAATTATATGGGATTTTTTTTAAGAAGCATGACTGAAAAAAACATTTGGCCTGGATTTAAAGCATAAGTTTTAGCATCAACAGTACTGCTACTCAGAATGACAGAGATGAAAACAGAGAAGAAAGCGCAAAAATTAAGTAGCTCTGGAGAGGAGAAAAAGTTGACTTAAACTGATAGCGCTATTTGTATGGGATGCCACCTTGTGGAAGTTTTCAGGATGTCATCTTTAATCAACTCTCCTGCAGGTCTTCCTCTCTCTTCAGTCACTGTAGATAATCCTGTTTGTATAGATCAGCCTTGTTCTTTAACAGCCCGTCCATCACCTTTATTCTTTTATTTTTTTTATGTAATCTGAACTTTCTATATGGTTTAGTGTCCTGGGTTTAGCAGTAGCAGTCAATGCTTACACACAGCAGGTACAGATTGTATATTGCTGCTGAGCTCCTCTGTCAGTGGCAAGCTAATGAGAGAGAATGTGCTAGTCTGATGGGAAGTATTGCCTTTTGATAGGGCTGGAGTTGCACATGAAATGGATTCTTGGAGTAGGTTTTTTTTGTGTGTCTTTTGTTTGTTTTTTGTTTTTTTTTTAACTCCAGCTATCTTTGGGGAGAATGTACAGACATGACCATCTGAGCAATTGCCATGTGGATAATTTCCACCCTGGATAATTTCCACAACCTGTCTGGCTAGGTTTAGACCACGACATTTAGGAATGCAGAAATATTACTTTGGGAGGTTAAAAGTATGAAAAGGAGAACTTACCTTAGCTTGCCCAGTGGGCTTGGGAGTCGGCTACAGTGAGGACATGATCAGTGCAGATACTTTGGTATAATTTTAGTACTACAGTAATGTGTGTTGTCAGAAAGCTTTTAAGGGAACTATAATCCCATTGTGCATTGTGGCATGGTGATCCAGTCTCTACAGCAGTTGGAAATGTGTTTGTTATTCCACAGTTGTTTTCAGCAAGACATTAGAATTGCAGGAAGAAAGAGCAAATGTGGACACATCTGCTGCCTCATCTGACACACCACTTATTTCACACTGTAAAGGACTCCTCTCCCAGTGTGTTCATGTGTTTGGCATTCAAGTTGTATCTGCATAGTAGTCTGCATAGGGACAGCACAGATGTGTTGCTAATTCACGAGACCTTCGTTGCAAACATTTCACATCGAGTGTTTAATGCTTCTTCCCTGCTTTCCACCTCATGGAAAGGTGAAGGTATATTAGGTGAGCAGTCTTCAGCAAATCAGCAAGGTGCTTTGCTCTTGAGTTTGCCAAAATACTACAGTGGCTACCACAAGTAAATAATTAATCTCGCCGTACATATGGAAGTATATAGAGACTGTCTCCTAAATTGAGACTGTGTAGAGTTCTGTTCATATTTCTGCTCTCCAGCTTTGATTCTCCTTCTGCTCTGGGTCCTTTTCTGTCTTCATGTCTATCCCATGGACCACCAGTGGCCTTGTCACTTTACTGATTTCCTACACTTGAAGGTAGCTCTCATCTAGCGGTTAAATCCAAAGAGTCAGTGAGTGGATTCCTGAGAGGGCTTGAGGCACCAAAACTGCAGCAATTCAAGGACAGAGTAGTTTTAATTTAAAGCAGGAGCAATAGGGTGGCTGATTCCGTGAACTGTGGACAGTTTAAACCTGTGGTGATGTCCACTGGGTCCTGCAGCAGATCAGGAGACTTCTGCTTTGCATTCCCCCAGAGTGCTCCAAGTTCACATTGACTTCATTCACGTACCATGAAAGGCAATGAGAAATCACATCAAGACTGCTAATTGGAGAAGACAGATTTGGGGGAAGAGATAAAAGTGCTGTAGCCTTTTCCTGCCACATTCATGTGTGTGTGTTTTGTACCGGTCTTTTCATAAGAATAGTAGCTTTTTAACTTTTTCCTGCTACACACATTCATCTTGCAGCTGCATCCAGATCTGCTACAAGAACCACATGTTGTGAAATTTATTCACACCTAGTGACACAAAACTCTCCAGCACATGCTGTGGAGTTATTGTTTTGAGTTTTGGAAGCAGAAGTGCTTCCCAGCTTCCTTACAAGAATGTTGAAAATCTCCTCTGTCTTTCCCAATGCATATGCTTGTTTTAGATAGTTATAGGGGTTTTATTTTCCTGATTGCTGAACTAAGCTTTGGTGCAAGGAGGCCTGGAAGTAACCACCAATGCAGTACAGGTAATCTCCATCTCTTACTCTCTTTCTCTTCCTACACAATCCTTTATTTTTACGTTTTGCATGATGTTAGCTCTTAGTACATTGGGAGAGGCTTTATTCTGCCTCCCATGGGAATGCTTGTGAGCATCTTGCATAAGGTCTATTCCTGGTCTCAATTCTTCACCAAACTTGTGAATCTCCCTGGACGCAAAGCAGTTTCAAAAGCTTCAAGCAAACTAGGAAAGAGGTTCAGAGGGGACAGAAGGGTCACAGGGGAAGTAGAACAAAATAATGCTGCATATGTTTATGAAAGCATAAGCCTGACTCATAGATAAGGTGACATGAGTGCAAGAAGATGCTATTGTAGTTTTTCTTTCTGTTCTGTGAAGCAGCAAAAGGAAAAGGGGTAATGGGTTTAAACTTAAACAGGGGAAGTCCAGGTTAGATATAAGGAAGAAGTTCTTTACTGTGAGGCTGGTGAGGCACTGGAACAGATTGCCTAAGAAAGTTGCGAATGCTCCATCCCTGGCAGTGTTCAAGGCCAGGTTGGACAGAGCCTTGGGTGACATGGCCTAGGGTGAGGTGTTCCTGCCCATGGCACAGAGTTGGAAATGGATGTTCTTAAGGGCCTTTCCAACTCAACCATTCTATGATTCCATGAAAACTAAGCCAGTTTTACCCTGAACTATCTGCCTTGCAGGTAAAATCAGCTCAGGCAGAGTGGGGGTATTTTCCAAAAAAGGTAGGTCTGTTACTCTTCATTATGCCAGAATGGTGTTCCTCACAAGACAGGACTGAACCCTATTTTAGTGCAGATACTGTTCTCTGACCTTGAGTTTCCATTTGAGTAAAAGTTGTAAGTTTATGCAAGTACAGTGGGGTGGCCTGGTGTGGCAAACCTGCTAGATGGCAGGAACTTCATTACTCTTGTTCCTCACTGTTGACCTGTGAGCACCAGCAGCTTTGGGATACCACAGTGAGTAATGATTAGGTACTGTTTCAGTTTTCCCCTGCAGCGCTCCAAGTAAATTGGAGCAAAACACTCTGAGGTGGGTGGGATGGCGCTGACCTCCAGTCAGCCTCCCAGTGAAGGTGACGTTAATTTACCTAGACTTGTGCAAGGTATTTGACAATGTCCTGCATGTCATCCTTGTCTTTTAATTGGAGAGGCCTGGATTTGACAGATGGACCACTCAGGATAAGGAACTGGCTGGATGGTTGCACTCAGAGAGTTGTGGTCAACAGCCTGATGTTCAAGTGGAGATCAGTGACAAATGGTGTCTGCCACGGGTTGGTATTGGGACTGATCCTGTTCAACATCTTTGACAGTGGGATTGAGTGTACTCTCAGCAAGCCCTCACCACAGTGAACTGTGAGGTTCGGTTGATACGTTGGAGGGATGGGATGCCATCCAGAGGGACCTTGACACACTTGAGAGGTGGGCTGATGCCAGCCTCATGAAGTTCAACCAAGCCAAGTGCAAGGTCCTACACCTGGGTCAGGGCAATCCCAGGCACAGCTACAGGTTGGGCAGAGAAGAGATTCAGAGCAGCCCTGCAGAGAAGGACTTGGGGGTGTTGGTTGATGAGAAAATGAACATGAGCTGGCTTCAGTGTGTGCTCACAACCCAGAAAGCCAACCGTATCCTGGGCTGCATCAAAAGGAGCGTGGCCAGCAGGTTGTGGATGCCCCATCCCTGGCAGTGTTCAAGGCCAGGTGGGACAGAGCCTTGGGCAGCCTGATCCAGTTTAAGATACCCCTGCCTAAGCCAGGGCAGTTGGAACTGAATGATCCCTTCCAACCCAAACCATTCTATGATTCTATGAATTTCTCCTCTGACTAGAGGCTATATTTGGCAGGAGATTGTAATAGTAGCTCACAAATTTAATGAAAGTGCAGCTAACTCCTACTATTGATTTCACTGCCAGTGATCACAGGTCAGATGGGAAATTGTGTAACAGCCATTTTGAGCAAGTACTACCATATGGCCAGCTTTTAGGCCCTGTGTAGTGCAACACTTGGCCTTTTTTTCTAAAGACAGACCCTGTGATTTAGGGTAGGAAACCTTATTTCTTTAACCGGACATGGTATTGTTAAGAGTGAGAATCAAAATGAATTTGATCTAGAAGCTTTGCATTTCCTTCAGGTTCTCTCACAGACAGAGAGTAGCAGAAGTTGAGCTTCCTGTAGATAATAAACCTAGAAATCTGATTTTTGAGACAGTTAACGCTGATAACCAACAGTAAAGGTGTTGAGAACTCATATTAAAATCCAACCTGGCCACTGAGACTGGGTATTTTATGACAAATATTTATTGAAATGATGCTACTAATTGTAATTATCTCCAGAATAATTCCTTGCCTGTCCTATGATGAGGAAATACAGGGCTGGATACTCTGAGACATTGTAGATGATTGCAGAAATAAGCTAAATAGAACAATCTTTCAAATGATGGTTTTTTATTTTCCTACAGAAAAATTGCATTGGGTTGGGCTGTTGGGTGATCAGTGGGTAGCCCTGGTGTCATGTGCTGAGTCTTTCAAAAGAGAATTCTGCCATCCAGTGGCTTTTACTCAAAAGATTTATAAGTGCAGGTGACATGACCAAGTCTAAGTAAAACCACTCAGTTTCACTTTGTTTCATCACCAAGCCAGTACGAGCACTACTGCAGAACAGTTATCTGAGAATTTGCTTGAGAAATTCTTTCCTTTCAGAGTGTGAGGAAGGACCCAATTCCATTTGTTTTAATGGTAAAACCTTTCTTTTGTTTATCTTTTTGCAGTTATGTGGCTGTGGACTGCTGGGTGTGGGCATCTGGCTATCAGTGTCGCAAGGAAACTTTGCCACGTTTTCTCCCAGCTTTCCGTCGCTTTCAGCTGCCAACCTAGTCATTGCCATTGGTACAGTCATCATGGTGACCGGCTTTCTGGGCTGCCTAGGTGCTATCAAGGAAAACAAGTGCCTCCTGTTGAGTGTAAGACATCATTACTTCTTTTCACTAAGACCTGTGACTGCTGCTTTGTTATTTTATTTGAATGACCAGTGCAAAATAGTCTTGTGGATCACTATAATGTTGCCCTTGGCTTTCAGTTTTCTGTATGCTTGCAATATGACATCCCATAGCTTTGGTCACAGTGGTATAACCGGTGTATTAGTAAGTGTATCCTTCATACTATGTGCCATATGTATTAGATAGCAAAGCAAGTTACTGCCGCCAGTTACCTCTGAATGGTTAAACATGAACTGTAGGGTCAACCTGGATAACCCTTTTTGAAATGTCTGGTAGAAGAATCTACTGAAAAATCTTAAGCACAGTTGCTTTTGGATGCCACTCAAAGCCTTTCATGGCTATTTTCTACTTTGCTTTTATTTAAGGCCTTTGTCAGAGGTTGGTGGAAACCATCTGACCCAAAGTTAAGTCATGGTCTCTGCCAGGGCTTGCCAACAGGAAAAAAAAAGCAACAAAACAAATCTGATCCTTTGTCCAGCACTGAAGCACAGAGATTGGGAACTGCTCTCAGAAAACATGGTGTGGGTCACTCCTCTTGCATAAACTCAGGAGGCTTCATTATGCTTTTTTCTCACCTCAGGGAGACAGGTATTGTGGCAGAAAGTGAGAGGAGGACTTTCAAAGTAGACTGCTTCCAATTCAGTCACAGCTTATGAATCACAGGTGCTGCGACATAAAGGAGCATATGAGGTTTTCTTGTGTAAAAGTCTCCCTTACATGGTGCTGTGAAACAAGCAGGGAGCATTCCTTAGACCACCTCAGAGAATTAAACTGGACAACAAACTGGCAACCGGTTTTTGCTGTCTGCTGCTTGGTTTTCTATGTTGTACAGATAGGAAAGCAAACAGAGAATAGTAATGTTGTTTATCCACCTAAACTGTAATTTTGGTTTGTTTTTTTTAAGAGTGTTTATATTTGTCATGGTTTAAGTCCAGTTAGCAGCTAAGTACCATGCAGACACTGACTCATTTCCCCTCTCACAGTGGGATGGGGAGGAGAATTGGAAAAAAGGTAAAAACCTGCATGTTGAGATAAGGACAGTTTAATAATTTAGATAAAGTAAAATATAATATTAATACTACTATAACATAACATAACACTACAACGACTAATACTACTAATAATTATAATAAAGACAAAGGGTAGCCCCCTCCCAACCAAAAACCCCAAGTGATGCACAGTACAATTGCTTACCACTCAGTGACTGATGCTAAGCTTGTTCCCAAGTAGCAATTGGCCCCTTCCAGCTGACATTTTATGGTATGGAATATCCCTTTGGCTAGTTTGAGTCAGCTATCCTAGCTCTGCTCCCTCCCAGTTTCGTGTCCCTCCTCACTGGCAGAGTGTGAGAGACTGAAAATTCCTTGACCAGGGTGCTACTGAGCAACAACTAAAACATCAGTGTGTTATCAGCATTGTTCCCAGACTGAAGCCAAAACACAGCACTGCACCAGCTGTTAGGAAGAAAATAAATCTACCCCAACCAAAACCAGGACAATATTCTTACAAGGTTATGTGAAAGTCTTTTTATACTATCATGACTATCACACACTGGAGAGTGTGCTGCACTGCATGTTGCACCTTCCCCAGTGTCTCTGCAGAGGATGCCATACTTATGTGGCAGTCCACTAGCACATAAAGGCAACTAGTGGGCATGAAAAATAGTGAGAAACTACTGAAGCTCACAGGATGCCCCTGCAGAGATACTTCAGCTACAGAGAGTTGGGAATAGAAGAGCTGAGTAATATAAAAACTATTTCAACAGGCAACTAAGTACCTGTGGTTAAAGCCTACCTGAGGTACATCACATTGATCTTTGTGGCAGTGGGTTTAGCATCTGTTCTATAGGCTGCATGAAGGAAATCGACTATCAATCAGGGCTGTGTGCTCTGGCAGCAGTCAAAAAAAAAGCATAGCTGAAACTTTCAAATCAGGAGTAAGAAGAAGCCTAAGACTTATAGAATGCAAGTGATCTTTGTCATGGTGAAACCTACAGAAGTTTTAGTGGCATAAAGTATCAATATGCCTGAATAGTTTGAAATCAAACTTTGGAAGTTTGCAAACTTTCAAATAGTTTGAAATCCTCCTTGCAGCAGAGGAAAGGTTTAGAGGACAAGACCAATAGTCTTCAGAGTTTCTAGCAGCCCCAGGTTTGCTCTCTAGTTGGCAAGCGTGTATACGATGTCTGTTTTTTCTTTGTTCTAGTTTTTCATCATTTTGCTGATAATTCTCCTGGCAGAGCTGATTCTACTCATTTTGTTCTTTGTTTATATGGACAAGGTAAGCAAATATGTCATATAGATTAATTATCTGTGCTAGCATGTAAACCAGGTTCAGTTTGTCTTCGTTTGATGGAGACATGTGGGTTCTCCTTGCTCTTCGCTTTGGTGAAGGTTTAACCTTGAGATCTGGGCTGGTTTATGTAAGCTGCTTCTGCAGGGAGAAAAGGAAGTGATGAAGAGGGCAAACAAGAGAGAAGAACCCTCTGAGCTTTACAATTTCCTCCCTGAAATAAAACCATAATCCAGGGCCTCCCATTTAGTCTTCTCCTAACAGCTGAAATAGGCTTCAACACAGCTGTGTGATTAGCTTCTGCAAGAAGCTAATCATCTTGTGAACCTGAGTTGTGAGACATCCTGCTTAAGACCTTGTTAGCTCCTTAGGGCCAACCCTGGAACAGTACTGGAGGAGAGGGGCCTGGAATATTCATAGGCTATTATGCCACCAGGTCTCTCATTTGGCTGGTCAGTCCTAAAGTTTGACAGGGATCAAGAGGCAGGTTTCCATAAAGCCCACCTATAGGAAGCTGCTGTCTAGTAGAGACTAAGTTAAGTAGGAAAAACTGGCTGGCCTGTCAGATAGACAGGACTGGAAAAATCCTCAGGGAAATGAAGAACTCTGCTAAACACAAGACAGAGCCTTACAGTATGAGAATGTCCAGACTGATTTTAAAACAGAGATACTACCAGAGTTATGTCTCTTTTCCTACATTATCATGATGCCTGCCACTTCCAGAGAGCTAAGCTGAACACATGATTTTGAATGGGATGTCAAAGACCTTGTGGCAGGACCCATAATCCTTTCCCTGCTGTCAGAGCCATCCTGCATCCAGGACTCCACGCTCAGACTGAAATTCATACAAGAAATGGGACATCTCAGATCTCCTGCTAAGCCTTCCAACTTTCTCCACTATGGAAAGAAGAGCACGCTTGAAAATCATAAATTCTACAAGCCTGTCCCCACAAGGAGAGCAATAATAATATTCTTTTTCAATTGATTTTGTAGGGGCCAGTTACTATAGCCTGCCTGAACTTGTGCAAGGAATAACTATGTTAAGCTTGAGAGGTTTCATAAAACTCTGGTTTTATGATGTCAGCAAATTAAAGTAGGCCATAGGTTACAGGCAGGAGAGGCTGCTGTGTGGTATTGCCAACAGCTCTCTCTCGCAAAATTAATGTCAGCAAGTTTCTGCTGATGACTTTTCAGTTAGTTTGTATCAAATGATGACTGTATGGTGGTCTTCCTCTTAGTAGAGAGGAAGCTATTTGGTCTCCTATCTCATGAGAATTAATCCAGTATTTTGCAATCTGAGGGAGAAACTAGGATTTGGCAGGTGCTGAAAGGTCCCACTGACTTGTGAGAGTCTTGAAGCTATGATGGAGCTCTTCTACCCGTGTTAAGTTTGTGGTGAGAGAAAGTGAGAAGGATACATTCTATATGCAAGTCTGTACCATTTGGTCCTTCCCTCTGAACTGCAGTGCATTGACTTTGTGTATTTTCTACATCATACAGGTCAGTGAAAGTGCAAAGAAAGATTTGAAGGAAGGTATGAAGCTATACAATTCAGAAAATAATGTTGGACTGAAAAATGCATGGAATATCATTCAAGCAGAGGTAACATATTTTCTCAATTAAAAAAAACCCAAACAAACAGAACCCCAAAACAAAAAAAAAAAAAAAAACACCCCAAAAACAAAAAAAAACCCACACCCCAAAACCTCACACGAAAACCAAAATCAAACAAAAAGAAACAAAGAAACAAACAAAACCCCACAGTTTGTCCAGAAGGTTGCTGCAGTCTGTTGACTTCGGCATTTGTGCCAAGGCTAAAAGATGGCTAAATCAGACTTTGAATTCTGATTTTGCACTCTTGAGCATCCAGGGAGTATGGTGAAATCCAGTATCAAAGTGTACTCTATAAGGTGAAAGATGCTTACCTTTCTCTGAGGTTCTCTGTGCCGACCACAAGCGCAGAAATGAACTGAAACGGAGAAGCAGCAAAATCTGCATAGGTAGAACTGCAGCCTTGGCAGCTAGGCTTTTGCTGTTCAGCACTCGTGGGCAGATTACCTAATGTTTTGGTGTTTGGGTTCATGTATTTGTGACAAGAAGGCTAACATACCTTGGGCATGGGACTGTTATTTTTGTTTGGTTTTTTCCTAAATATTGTTAAGTATTTGCTTTTAGTGATCACTGAGCACAAAGCACGTTAACATACAAAAATGTTTGGCAGCCCTTCTGAAAATATACAGTACTTTAGTGGCAGTAAAAGTTTGCAGTTGTGCAAGAAGGGGAAAATGGATGACCCGGGGAATTACAGACCAGTCAGTCTCACCTCTGTGCCTGGCAAAATCTTAGAGCAGATTCTCCTGGAAGGCATGCTAAGGCACATGAAAATCAATAAGGTGCTTGGTGACAGCCAGCATGGCTTCACTAAGGGGAAATCCTGCCTGACCAATTTGGTGGCCTTCTATGATGGGGCTACAGAACTGATGGACAGGGGTAGAGCAGCTGATGTCATCTACCTGGACTTGTGCAAAGCGTTTGACACTGTCCCACACAACATCCTTGTCTCTAAATTGGAGAGACATCAATTTGATGGATGGACCCCTTGGTGGATAAAGAACTGGCTGGATGGCTGCACACAGAGTTGTGGTCAATGGCTCAGTGTCCAGCTGGAGACCAGTAACGAGTGTCGTCCCTTAGGGATCGGTGTTGGGACCGGTCTTGTTCAACATCTTCGTCGCTGACATGGACAGTGGGATTGAGTGTGCCCTCAGCAAGTTTGCCGATGACACCAAGCTGGGTGGTTCAGTTGATACACTGGAGGGAGGGAATGCCATCCAGAGGGACCTTGACACGCTTCTGAGGTGGGCTGATGCCAACCTCATGAAGTTTAAGCATGACACGTGCAAGGTCCTACACCTGGGTCGGAGCAATCCCAGGCACAGCTACAGGTTGGGCAGAGAAGAGATTCAGAGCAGCCCTGCAGAGAAGCACTTGGGGGTGTTGGTTGATGAGAAAATGAATATGAGCAGGAAGTGTGCGCTTGCAGCCCAGAAAGTCAACCGTATCCTGGGCTGCATCAAAAGGAGCGTGACTAGCAGGTCGAAGGAGGTGATCCTGCCCCTCTACTCTGCTCTTGTGAGACCTCACCTGGAGTATTGTGTGCAGTTCTGATGTCCTCAGCATAAGGAGGACATGGAACTGTTGGAACAAGTCCAGAGGAGGACCACGAGGATGATCAGGGGACTGGAGCACCTCCCGTATGAAGACAGGCTGAGGAAGTTGGGGCTGTTCAGCCTGGAGAAGGGAAGGCTGCGTGGAGACCTCATAGCAGCCTTCCAGTATCTGAAGGGGGCCTATAGGGATGCTGGAGAGGGACTCTTCATTAGAGACTGTAGTGATAGGACAAGGGGTAACGGCTTAAAACTTAAACAGGGGAAGTTTAGATTAGATATAAGGAGGAAATTCTTTCCTGTTAGGGTGGTGAGGCACTGGAATGGGTTGTCCAGGGAGGTTGTGAATGCTCCATCCCTGGCAGTATTCAAGACCAGGTTGGAGGAGGCCTTGGGTAATATGATTTAGCGTAAGGTGTCCCTGCCCATGGCAGGGGGGTTGGAACTAGATAATCTTAAGGTCTTTTCCAACCCTAACTATTGATTCTATGATTCTGTGATTCATGAATTGTGCTACTTAATTTATGAATCCTTATTTTTGCCACAGATGAAATGCTGTGGTGTGAATGACTTTACGGATTGGTACCCAGTGCTGGGAGAAAACACTGTCCCGGACCGATGTTGTACGGAAAACTCCCAAGACTGTGGACGAAACTCTACTGAACTGGTGTGGAAAACGGTAAGGCTTGCTTTTGCCCAGGTCAAGGGTTAGGGAGACATGGGAAGGAAGAAAACAGACAGAATGCATGTGAAAGAAGATGTGACCTTGGGATTTCAATTTTCTTCTTTCATCATTATTTCAGGGATGTTATGAGAGAGTTATGACCTGGTTTGATGAGAATAAGCATGTCCTTGGTTCGATCGGGATATGCATCCTCATAATGCAGGTAATACTGGTATGATGTTTGTCAACATGCCTTTGATTTGCCATCAGCATTGTTGATTCTGCTCTGTCGAAATTGGTACTCAACCACTTTGAGTTTGATCATGATTTCAAAAATTACAGATTTGTTTTGTGAGTTCATGTATGGCCATCTATTCAGAAAGGAAGCAGGTCAGTCAGTCCCACAAAGAAGGCATGCTACAGTGGGGTTTTGCTTACCTGCCTTTTGACTTCAGAACACCACTCTGAGGTTCCCATGTTCCGCCATTTGTTACACTGCCCCTTAGGGAACTGTTTTTTTTTTAAATTTGGAAGCAAGTTCTAGAAGTTGCCAAAATTAGTAAATTTATAGCCACTGAGTAGGTTAATGTGTTTTAAAGAAGAAACGCATAGGTACCATAGTAATCTGTTAAGATTTTGAGGTTATTGTATCACTGTTGTACTTTGCGGGGAGAATACCTGAATCTGATATTTCAGTTACGTTTCAGTTATCTGGCTAAACAAGCACAAGTTGTTGGGTGAAAAAGAAGAGTGACTCATATGTATATTCTGAAAAAAATTGTTGTACATATGACAAAGAGCCCTGAGAGCTTTTTGCCTCCATCTGTGCTCTGACAGATGCATCTCCAGACTTCACCATGTGCCTGAACAACATACATCCAAGTTTACTGATCAGTAGTGAAACTTGAGAAATATGGCTAGTGTAGAATGACTTTTAAAGCTGGAGAATGAACAGAGGTGGCAGTGAAGATTTGGCAGCCTCACCATACTGAAGCTTTTATTGTTTGTTTCCCTTCAGATTCTTGGCATGGCCTTCTCCATGACACTCTTCCAGCAGATTCACAGGACTGGCAAAAAATATGATGCCTAAAACCTCTGAAACATTATCACATCAACCCTTCTGTCTCATCATAAAAATGAATAAAAGGAATGACAGAATACCAAGCCTAGCCCTGCTGAAGGAATCCATCCCATTGACTGATCTACTTTGTTGTTATTTGTCCAGTTTGTCCAGACACAACTTGCTGACTCATTTTTGTCTTTCACATTTGCCATTTATTTGCCAAAGACAGGGGAAACTCCCCAAAACTATGGATTTTCTACACAAAATCATAAGAATGGTTCTTAACATTAAGAAAATGTTTTGCTCTACTAATCCATGCTGTATGTGCAAAAATTACATGTGTTCAACTTCAAGGCAGAAGTCTTCAAAGTCTTCCATTAAGTTTTCAACCCTCTTGCCTAATTTACTGGAAGACTCAGAAAAGCCACTCTGAGAGTCCTAGGAATTGGAGCTGCTTTGCTTTGCAGCTTCTTGTACCTTATGGTGTATACTTTTTTATTATGATAATGATGATGATGATTATTATGATGAATATAGCTTAGAATTTAGTAGCCTGACTTATAACTTCTTACTGGGTTTGGTTTTACACATTTATTGTACATTAATTTGGGAATCACTGTGCGATCTCTAGAAGGCATGTTTTTCAAAGTTGACGGTGCAAGCAAATAAAGACATAACTTTTTTTAAGTCCATGGGGAGGCATCATCTACCTTTTACCAAGGTCTTGATGTCCTTACTGTAACAAAGGAACCACCTTTGTTACATCCTCAGATGGAATGCAATGCCTTTCCTTTGGACCAGATGGTGAACTTCCTACTCCTGTAAGGCAAAGTTCCAATGCCTTTACTCACCCAAAGCAGTGTCTGGCTGCTTTGACATCATGCTACTATGAAAGCTGAAAGTACTAACTAAGCAAGTCACTGCTCCCTGACATGAAGGAAGGAGACTGCAGTCTGGCCTACTGGCTAGTTGACAACAGATTTCACAATTGTGATGTCTGTTTCAAAAAGTTTGCCCAAGGCATGGCATGCTGCTGGGTATGAGGGAAGGGGATGGCAGTTTGATGTCATGCCGTGCCCTTCATGGAAGGGGTCTCCTCAGGCAGATGACAGCTGTCTCCCTGAGCTGGAAAAGATGGTTTAGATTGTTTGATTAATAGCAACAAGATGATGCAGGAAAAGGGCAATTTCCAAAACAGAACTCACGGATAGTATGTGTCGTCACACCTTCAGTACAGAACTGGTTTTTGATGATGGACTGCAAAGTCCATCCAGTGGTATAGTGCAGAGTTCACTGCAATGCATATTTTTACCAACATTCCTGTCAGAAAACTTAAACATACATTTCTGTAGCTTTAATGCTGTTTCATTGCAAGCAGCCCCCATTTTACCCTTTGTTCCAGGTTTTTGAAGTTTTGTGAAACAAGAAGGAAAGGCTCAGAGGATGTTCTTATTTAAGTCCAGTCAGGGCTCACCGCTACTCTGAAAAAAACTACTGTTTTTTGTATTAGCAGCAGTCAGAAGTGACCTTCAGAGGTTACCTTATCCAGTGTCACTCTCAAAGGGTTACTGTCATCTATATGAAATGGGGGTTATAATGAAATTATTGGGCTGAGTTTCAGAACCTGTAGAGGATGGAGATTTTGTGCCTTTCAGAGCCATAACATGTCAAACTACTCCTCTGGTAAACAAGGTTTTTTAATGTCCAGTTTGAATATTTAAACTTTAAACTCTTAAAAGATATCATTTTGCATTGTGTCATTCAGCCTTGTGGGCTGAAAGAGCTGTTTCATATCTGGGAGTTTTTAGTCCCATTCATTTTCCTAGTAGGTCCTGCATGCATCTCGCAACAACAGTGTTTTGCGTGGCCTATGTGTCACTTTTTTAAGTTCCTGTGAAATCAGTATGACAGGAAGCTGTGTGAATGTGTGGGAGACGGAGATTAATTTGAAGAAGATTACTATTCTGAGAGTATGTCCCTTGCCCATAGGAGCACAATGCCCAAAGTTTCACAGGGCTGTTTCCCACTGAATCAGACAATGCCATATGGGTTCAGCTGTTTCAATTGGATTGCCTTTAAAAGAATCAGGGAAAAAGCAGAGGGAAAGCACAGAAACTGAATCCAGTTTTACTTGCATTTCTAACAAAAATTGGGACCAGGAGCATCTGAGCCCTACCGGAGATGGATGTTCCATGTTGAAGAAGGGGCTCTGATGCCCACTGTACTTGCTGCTACGTGTAAGACTGTATCCGAAGTTGCTAAAATGCATTCCCATTTTTGCAAGAAAAGACAGGACAATTTTCATCTGATGGCTCCACTGCATTTTCTCTTTGGGCAGAGGTGCTTAGTTTTCTCTAGCTTTCTCTGGTGTTCAAAAAGAGCAGGGTGCAGGCCTGAGCAGGTTCATCATCTCTGTCCTTTTTGGTCGCACAGTGGTACCTGCCACATCTTAATTTTTAATCTGCAGTCAGTTTTTGTACAAAAAAATGGTAAAAATATATTAGTGAAATTAATAAGGAAATAAAAAATGTTTATGAGTAATTCAGAGATGAATTGTGTAGTTGCAAACTCAGCTACTTTGCCTTCCATCCAAACTTATTTTTCTAGAATGCTTCATTCCATTTCATGATCTAGCAGCATAGATCCTGAAATCTTTTTTTAATGACTACTTTTGCTATTTTAAGCACAGTATTGAGATAGTTACAAAAGCTTCATATGTACATCTCCATGAAGCCACCTACAGGAAGGAAGTCAAGAACAGGGCTAATTTGTGTCTCTACCTGACTCTCTGATGTGGGAGGTGATGACAGACATCCTGAAAGGAGCAGGAAAGTAATGCCATTTTCCAGGTGACAAAAACCAGCTCTGGAAAGTGTGAGTCTGTGTCAGTCAGTTTGTTAGAGAAGACACTAACCGTCCTGTAAACTGGTCAAAGGGAGCTTGCTTTGGCTCATGTATGTATGCACTTTTTTTGCTTATGCTAGTGGGTGGCTGTCTGTGTGTTTTCCCCAAATGTCATGCTGATTATTTAAATATAAATTTTTAGCATGTTTTTAAATAAAAACAGATACTGAGTAAAAGTATTTTTAATATACACAACTATTGATTTGTATAAATGCATACCTCTCTGTATCTCTAATTCATGAAAGCACAGTTCAAATGTCTGAAAGTGCTGTTTCTCTGGGTATTCCTTCAGACTGTAGCATACCCACTGTCTCACTGTGCTTCATGCTTGGAAGCTACAGCAGAACTTCGGCAGAGACACAATAGGAGAACAGCTTGAAGAAGCTCTATTTGAAAGCTGTTGAAGTGATAGCAGTGAATTCTGTTCCCTCCTGGTGGTACCAAGGCTGTTAGTTATAGGAAGCCCAGGTGGATGGCACCCAAAAGAAGTGCCCACAGCTGAGTAGCATGTGAGATGTTAAAAACAATGGCACAGATGTCTCCAGGATGACAGAAGATGCCTTGTATTTGTCATGCATTGAATTCCTGGACTGTGGTCATGTTAGGCCAACTCTCCTATCCTGTGTCCACCCCCCATTTGTATGCATGAAATAATACAATCTCATAGGAAGGGTGCAAGCAAAAGTCAGAGGAACTGATCCTCATGGTCTTTTGAGGGCAATGTCAAGTGTAGAAAAAGCAAGGAGGAAAATGGTGTTTTCCCAGCAGATGGTTCTTGGGAGCAATATGGAATAGGGAACATGTAATTCTGATGTAACTTCTGTTCCATAGAGTTAAGCAGCTTCATCCTGTACCTGGCATGGGGAAACCTGGAGATGTTTGCCTATGGGCTAGCTATCTGTTGTGCAGTAGATAGTAGACACCAAGAAACAACATGCCATTCCCACCAGGTGGTGTTTGCACCAGTGTTTCTTCTATGCAATACTTACATTCGCCTTTATATAAAAGATTTTTACTAGGATAATATAAAAATAAAGGATTTTTTAAAAGGTGCCTCTTTGAGCTTATTTCTTTTATAACTCCAACTACCACCAAAACCAAAAGGGGACAACAAACATTCCAAAAGATAACTCACAGAAATCTATTCCAACTCCACAGCAGTTGAAGTCCAAGCTCTTGAAGGTTTTGCATGTCTGAAAAGATCCCCCCCAATATCCTCTCTCATCCTTATTCAGAACAATACTGTAATAAAACAGAAATCAGTGTGAAAGATCCCCAAAGATCAGAAAATTGTGTTTGACAGCCTGGTAATATAGGCAAATATCCCAGAGAATATAGAATAGTTGGAGAGAGGACAAAGTATTAGAAAGCTTGAAAGACATGCAGAGGACACAGAAAAGCATCTCAGAAACCATGAAAATTTATTAAACACTGATACAGAGAAAGATCAAATAGCCCTCCAAATGCCAGCAAAGTAGAAGATGGTCTGAAAAATCCCCAGATAAAACAATGGAGGCAACCAGAAGCTATCAAAGCAACAGAGAGTCTGAAAGATATTCAGGAACATAAAGCAGCCTCAGGGGAAGAAAGCCTGTAAGTACCTAAGGAAACAAAATGTATCAGTGTCCAAGAGGCCAAGATAGAAACAGACAAGGCAAAAGGAACTGCAGGGAATACCAAAGAGGCTCAGTAATAGCAAAATAGTATCAGAGATACTAAAGGAGCTCCAGAGTATACAGTAGTACAAAAGGCGGCCTCAGAAAAGACAAAAAAAAAAAACAAGGGCAGAAAGCTTGAAAGTGCCCCGAAAAGTAGCATCAAAGAATGGAAAATTAACTAAAATCTTTAAAAGACTCAGAGGGCACAGAGTAGCCTCAAAGAGCAAAAAAAAAAAAACTGTTAGAAAGCCTGAAATAACCATAGTGAATGCACCAGAGTCCTTAACAAGAAAGTAGCAGAGATTCTGAAAGCACCAGCAGAGTATGCATGCAGCTGCTAAAAAAGGATAAAGAGCAACAGAGAATAACCTTGGAGGAGGGAAGAAAGAAGTATGGAGGCTAAAATAATCCCAGGAGAAAGAAGAGTAGCTACTACAACCTTCTCAAAGCACAAGAAAGGTCCACTTTATGTGTGGGAAGTCTACCACGCCTGGCAGAAGGCCAGTATGGATGAACAGAGAACTCTTGATGGAGGCTGACAACACAAAGGGGAAGCAGAAGTGGGGTGGGCTGCTCTGGAGGAATAAAGCCATTGCCTGGGTATCGTGGGGTGGAACCTGCAAAGCCCGAAGCTCAGCTGGTGTTGAAACTAGTGAGGAACATGGAAAGCAACAGTCCGTGGGTCCACCTGACATGCAGCCAGTGGTGCTGAGGGAGCTGACGAGAGTCACTACAAAGCTGCTCGTGTCTTTGAGAGGTTGTAGTGAGCAGGGGAGGTTCCTGATGATTTGAAGAGGCATATAGCACACCCTCCCTCTCCCCAGCCATCTCCCCCTAAAGGAAAGAAAGAGCCCCCTGAGAACTACCGGTTCGTCAGCCTGCTCTCTGCCCCTGGAAGATCACAGAGTAATTCCTCACAGAAACTACTTCCAATTGTACAAAGGATAAGATATAAGGATAAGAAACTGATTGGGAAAAGGCAGCTTAGATGTACGTAGGGTAACTTATGCCCATCCACCCTCATAGCTTTCTACAGTGAGACAACTATTCATGTGAATGAGTGGAGAGCAGTGAGTGTTGTTCACCTGGACTTAAGCAAGCTCTTTGCCACAGTTCCCTGTAGAAAATGGTTGAGGTACGGTTTGGATACGTGACAGATAAGGTGGCTGAATAACTGTCTGGACTATTGGGCTTAAAGGGTTGCGGTCAGCTGTTCAAACTAACTGGTAGTGAGGGTTTATTTATTTGCATTTCTTGGAGATTGATGCCTGAGCCAATAGTGCTCAATGCCTGTTTTATTAAAGACCACAGGTCAAGAGACATGGTCGTGCTTTGCCACAGGCTCCTTCCTCTCTCCTCTCAACCCACCTCAAACTCCTCCCTATGGGTCTCTCTCACTCAGATAGCTACTCTGCTTGTCTTCAGAGGCTTTTTGAGCCTCTCTGCTTGTTTCTTCACTGCCCTATATACTGTACCTGCAGTACAGTTATACTAGTTTGGCTTCTACTTTTGTGGCTCTCCAGTCATACCATCTGTTCTCAGTGGACTCAACATTTCTCCTTCTTTCTTGGTCTCTGTGAGACTACTCTCTGCTTTCTCAGCATTCCTTCTGTTTGCTTTTTTTTTTTTTTTTTCACCTCTCCAAGGCTACTCTATGCTCTGGGTGTCTTTCTTGCCTGCTTTTTTCCACCTTTCTGAGGCTAGTCTATTTTATCCTTCACATTTGCAGGCTTTATGCCATTTTCTTACCATCTCTGAGACTACTCTGTCTTCTCAGAGGTTTTTGCAGGCTCTTTTCTAGTCTCTCAGGCTCCATAACATATCTCTGAACTCTGAGACTCTCTCAACCTCTCCACTTCCTTCACCTCTCCAAAGCTGCTGTGGTTGCCTTTTAGGCTTTTGGTCTGTTCATTCCTTTCACTGAGGTGACTTTGGATCACTTTCAGTATTTCTGCTCTCATCGTCTGCCCCCTCCACACTTTCTGAAGGTCAGCTGGGTTTTCTGGGGTGTTTTAATCTCTCTTTAAGGTTTGTGGCATCTCAGCACAAGGATGCAGGAGAGCTGGGTTAAGAAAGATCACCTAACACATATAACAGCTCCTTGAACAACAAATCAGGATGATGTAGACTTTCAAGGAAAGAATGCATAATGATTGCTTCTACAGCTTCCTCCATATCTCAAGACCAATGCCCATTTGAGGTGGACAGCCACTGCCTCCAGATGTGATGCTTTGTAATAAGCAGAGTATTTCCTCATTCTCTTCTCTTCCCTCTGGGCAACAGTATTTTTGTGTGTACAAGTTTGTGGATACCACAACATGTTTTGGCGGTTTTTTTTTTGTACAGAATGCTTATAATGTATTCCTTCTTTGGTTGTTCTGTTTGTTTTCTGCTTACTTTCAGTTAATGTGAGCAGAATTATATTTCATTATCATTTACATTATCATTCAGTTGCATGAATGCATCATTAAATTATTAAAAGTTAATCTATTATGAAATGGCAAATACTAAAAAATCACAACTTTTTTCTCTAAGAGAATGTATAATAGCAGTTTATCTTCCTTGTCTTATGCTACTTGATGCATTCAAGGGCAATGAGCAGATATTCATAGGGACATAGACAAGCTGGAGGAATGGGCTCAGAGGAACATTATGAAACTGAATAAAGACAAAAGCAAAGTTCTGCACCTTGGAAGAATTGGAAGAACCTTGGCAAAAATAAAGGTTAGGAAATGACTAGATGGTGAGGAGCCCTTCTCAAAGTCATAACCCTGTGCATGGAAAGCTGGATGTGAGCCAGCAGCGTGCCCTGGCGGCACTGTAGGCCAACTGCAGCCTCGGCTGTAAAATAGCAGGACCCTAGCCAGTAGTTCAAAGTAAAGGATTACTAGCATTTGTTAAACCTCTTTTAGAATACTGCATCCAGTTTTGGACCCATCAGTACAAGAAAGGCAGTGATAAACTGAAGCAAGTTCAGCAGATGACACCCAAGACAGTCAGGAGGACGGAACACTTGCCCTGGAGGGCAAGAGAGCACTCTCCCTGGAGGAGAAATTGATGGACCTGGACTTGTTCAGCCTGAAGAAAAGTCTTGTGTGGCAGGAATTAACGGCAATCTCCCAGTACCTACAGAGGATATCAAGAAGACCATGCCAGACACTTCACAGTGGTGCATGGTTGAAGGACAAGAGACAGAAGACTTGAGCTTGTAATGAGAGGTGCCAAATGGGTATCACAGAATCATAGAATGGTTAGGGTTGGAAGGCATCAGCTAGTTCCAACCCCCCCCTTCCACTAGATCAGGTTGCTCAAAGCCCCATCCAACCTGGCCTTGAACACTTCCAGGGATGGGGCAGCCACAACTTCTCTGAGCAACCTGTGCCGGTGTCTCACCACCCTCATAGTAAAGAATATTTTCTCAATGCCTAATCTAAATCTACCTTTTTTCAGTTTAAAACCATTCCCCTTCTCCTGTTGCTATGTGCCCTTGTAAAAAATCACTCTACAGTGATTTCTTGTAGGCTCCCTGTAGGGTATTGAAAAGCTGCTATAAGGTCTCCCTGGAGCCTTCTTTTCTCCAGGCTGCACAAGACCAACTCTCCCAGCCAGTCTTCATTGGAGAGATGCTCCAGCCCTCTGATCATCAATGTGGCCCTCCTCTGAACTTGCTCAAGGAGGTCCACATCCCTGTTGTGCTGGGGGACGCAGAGCTGGATCCACTACTCCAGGTGGGGTCTCACAAGAGCAGAGTAGAGGGGCAGGATCGCCACTCTCAACCTGCTGGCCATACGCCTTTTGATGAAGCCCAGTATGTGGTTGGCTTTCTGGGCTGCAAGCACACATTGCCAGCTCATGTTCAGTTTCTCATGAACCAATACCCCCAAGTCCTTCTCTGCAGGGCTGCTCTGAATCTCTTCTCTGCCCATCCTCTAGTTGTGCCTGGGATTGCCCTGACCCAGATGCAGGACCTTGCACATGGCCTTCTTCAACTTTATGAGGCTGGCATTGGCCCACCTCTCAAGTGTGTCAAGGTCCCTCTGGATGGCACTCCTTCCCTCGAGTGTGTTGACTGCACCACACAGCTTGATGTGGTGAGGGCTTGCTGAGAGTGCACTCAATCCCACTGTCAATGTTGCTGACAAAGATGTTGAACAGCATCAGTATCAACCCCTGACAGACACCATTTGTCACTACTGTCCACTCGGACATCAAGCTGTTGACCACAACTCTCTGAGTGCAACCATCCAGCCAATTCCTTATCCACTGAGTGGTCCTCCCATCAAATCCATGCCTCTCCATTTAGAGACAAGGATGCTGTGCAAGATAGTGTTGAATGCCTTGCACATGTCCCCATAAATGATGTCAGTCACTCTTATCTCCCAATGCTGTAGCCCC